CTCCTCCCACTCCGCCCGCCAACGGTGGGCGTTTAAGGACCGCACACTGAAAACAGCAGGGCAGTAGCCAAACGGGATCAGCGGTATCTCCTGCGGTTTTCAACCCCCCTGAGCCAGGAGCAGAAGGGCTGGTGGAACCCGGTGCCGCTGTGTTAGGGTGACAGCTAAGAAAAGCGTTAGAAAGTATAGTTCAGAAAGGTGAGCTTCGTCTGGGCTGAAATAATTCACAACCAATAAACAAACATTCCTTTTAGCACCTTAATTTTGAACATATTTTGACCAAACAGGAAACTCAAGGTGACAATATAGACAACCATTATATTGCAACTGCTCTCCCCGCTCAATCTGACCAATTGCTCTGTTAGCCTCAACAGCGCACCCTGTCAGCTTTCTCAGTGTTTCAGTGTTTTCAGTGAGGCCGTTGGGCCACCTTCCCGAGCCCACTGCTCTGAAACCCTGCCAACAGTTACCTTTAGATTCTGCAGCTTTGCTGGGGAAACTGGGGTGCTCCCTAAATGCAGCTACACTGATTCATTCGTTTATTCTTGGGGCACTAAGGATCAGCCGCCAGTGTAAGTGATGGGTGAACACAAGTCCCCGCTTTCGTGGAGTTCACAGCCTTGTGGAGGGAAGGACCAGTACACTGGGTGGTGGGAGGTGCTCTACAGAGAGGTAAAGCAGGTTCATGGGGAAAGGCTGATGTGGGTGTGCGTATGTGTGTGCAGAAGCAATTTCACAGAGGGCGATCTGGGAAGCCCTCTCTGGTAAGATGACATCTGATGAGAGACCTGAAGGAAGGGGAGGAGTGAGCCAGGCAGATCTCCTGGGGAGAGGCAGTCATTCCAGGTTGACCGGAAAGATGTAAAGGTCCCAAGACTATAGTGTATGTATTGTGTTCATGGAACAGCGAGGGGGCCACTGAGGCTTGAATGGAGTAAACCAGGGGGAGAAGAGCAAGGAATGAGAGCAGGGGGGATGCAAGTAAGGCGTGACAGACAACGTAGATCTTTGAGACCAGGGCACAGACTTGACTTTTCCTTAGAGCGAGAGAGATACTGGAGGGTTCTGAGTGGAGGAATGCTTCCGTGGAAGTTAGGAGACCCGCTATGAGATACTGCCGTGGTGCAAGTCAGCCTGAGAGTGGCTTGGACGCAGCTTGCAGAGGAGGTTAGAACTGGTCAGATTTTGGACATACTCGGTAGGTAGAATAAATTCCCTGATGGACTGAACGTGCGGTGCAAAGAAAGGAATCAAGAATGTCTCCAAGGCTTTTACCTTAAACAGGTGGGAAATGAAGCTGCCATTTAACGGGATGAGGAGGCTACGGGAGGAGAATGTTTTTGGGGAGAATATTTTGGTTTCAGTTTGAGATGCTTACTAGGTATTCAAGAGCAGATACTGAATGGGCAGTTGCATATATAAGTCCTGATCTAGGCTAGAGATTTCAGCTTGGGAATTTCAGGTAAACTGATGACATTTAAGGTCATGAACGTGTGTGTTGATAATGCAAAGAACTGGGACTCTCCAGTGTTGAGAGGTCAGTGAAACGAGGAGGAACCAGCAAAGGAGAATGAGAAGCAGCCAGTGAGGGAAGAGGCAAACCAAGAAGACCACTTTCTGTTGGGGATGCTAATGAAGAAAATGTTGAAAGAAAAAATGTCAAATGCTGCTGTGGGAGAGGTAAAAATTGAGAATAGATCATGGGATATGGTGACCTTGTCAGCGACAGTTTCAATGGAGTGGTGGGGAATGGAGACTTGAGTCCGGTGGCTCAGGAAAGGACAGGAAGAGAGGACCTGGGGGAGGGAGGATCACGCTCAAGTATTATTACTCTTTTGCTATAACGAGGAGCAGGAACGCGAGTGGTCTGGAAGTCAAGGTTGACTTCCAGTTTGAGTCAAGGGTACTTTTTATGATGGGTCCAATTGCATGATGTTCACAGATTGTCAGAAATGGTTCAGCAAAGAGAGCAAACTTTGAAGATGCAGAAGAGAGAGGGCACAATTGCAGGACAATGTTCCTGTGTAGATGGAGGGACTAGGATTCAGGGCACAAAGGGAAGGCTTGGCCTCAGCTCGGAGGACAGCCATCCATCTAATCGCTGATTACCTGCCATCAGCTTTTATTCATTCAGATTCACGAGACACTCAACTCATCACTGCTGTTGTCTCTGAGTCCCAGACCTGCTCGTAACTTCCTGGTGTACTGACATCAAATATGTATACAATAATTTATATATTTTGCAAGTATCTACTATATGTTTATATGTAATATAAATATATAAAACATGTAATATATTTATTAAATAATACTTTAATAAGATATCTAAAACCTACTTTTTTGGGGGGGAGGTAATCAAGTTTGTTTGTTTATTTATTTATTTTGATGCATGTACTGGGGATTGAACCCAGGACCTTGTGCATGCCATGCACTCTACCACTCAGCTAAACCCTCCCCCCGATATATAAAATCTTTTTTCTGTAATAAGAGATATCAATTCTTTCTATAATAAGATATATACAAATATTCTTTCTGTAATAACATCTTCCAACATATAGTTTGGCCTCAAGTTTCTCTAATTGTCCCAAAATGTCCTTAGGAACTGTGTTCCTCTTTTATTTTCTATTTTAAAATGCCAAGATCCTATCAAGATTGACCTACTGCACTTGGCTGTTTTGCCTCTTTAATGTTCCTTAGCAGAGAAAACTCCCGTCTTGGAGCTCCCTTGTCAGCACTGTTAGATCGGTATACTTTCTCTCTGGAGTCAAGCTCCTAGTGTGTGGATGTAAGGCTAACACCTTGGGCACCACCGCATCAGCATTTCCTCAAGCACCCAGCGTGGGGCTCTGCATAAGGAGGCAGGAGACAGTAATGATTAAGGGTATCAGCTCAAAACTCAAAAAGGCCTGTGTTCAAATTCTGGCTCCATCACTTATTATCTTGGTGACTATTTGCAGTATGAAATCTTGCAGACTCAGACTCCTCATCTGTAAAATGGGAATGAGAGTAACCACCTCACAGGCGTCTGGGAGGATTAAGGGAGGTAACAGCGAGGAGAAAGGGCTAACAGCCCAGCCTAGCGAGCCCAGGACACCTGAGCACTCACCAACGCGGGCTGCTAGCATTCTATCCTAGTGAACGCTCATTACACATCCAGACACACCACCAGGACACCAGGGACACTGCTTCACAGCAGAGGTGTGTCTGCTGCCGGGAGAGGGGAAGACACGCTGGAGAGGAGGCGGATTGGGTTGTTAAAATGGGAAGCAGGTAAGTCAGTGAGAAGCAATTTGAGCAGGGAGTGAAAACCTTTGGATTTTAGTTCACTGACTCAATGGGTGACTTTGGGCCAGTCCCCTTCATCTTTCTGGCACTTGGTATTTTCCCGTATTGAACTCTGTGGTTAGACTAGAGCATCTCTGAGCTCTGACGCATTACAGTTCTTCGCCTCAAGATGGGAGAATGCATCTTTTGGAGACCAGTTCAGGGAGGTTCTGGAAAAGCAAATCAAGATGACAATGGCCACCATTTATGGGCCACCTCCTCGGCGCCATGTCTGGTGTTAAGTGCCCTGCTTTCATCATTTCATTGACTCTCTCTGACAATACAATGAGGCAATTAGTAAATCCTTTTGCAGATGTAGAAACAGAAGCTTAGAGAGGTCAAGTACACAAGCAAGGTCACTCAGCTATTAAGTGGAAGAATCAGGATCCAAATCTAAGACTGACTCTGAAGCCTCTTCTCTGAACCACAGGTCACACTGTAAAAGAGGTGGGTGAGGGGGTCTGAGTGCCCTGGGCTGACAGGATGTTCGCTTAGGATTTTGGAAAAATAGCTCTTCATGGCCTGGCATTGCTCTCCTTTCTCATACACCACATTTCTATCTTATTATGTGCTCTCAATTTCAAAACTTTACAAAGAACTTTTGGGGAAAGAAAAAAAAAAACTTCCCAAAGTAGTAAGTAAGCTACAAATAATTTAAGTTAGTTAAATGTCAAACAAAGTTGGTGGCAAAGTGAGAATCAAATCCAAAATACACATTTCTGTATGAATCTTTCTCCCAAATATTTCTTGGGTCTGACATTACGGATTCTGAGAAGTTACGCAGCATAACTGAGAAACCAATAAGTAAGTAAAATCACGTTAGAGCTGAAACACAGGTTTTGGATGTTATTATTATTATTTTTTGGTTTTGGATATTATTAAAGACAGAAATTACTTCTAATTATTATGACTATATAATTTATCGTCCAAACTGGGGTACTTTTAAAACAGGAAGCTATTAATGATAACATCAAGAAAACAGGTAAAAACTGGGATTGTGCTAGAAAATTTGGGATGCCTGGTTACCCTGCAATAATCCTTATGATTTTACTTTTAAGCAACATATCAACCATAAAATGCAGTATTCAGTGAGAGTGCTTTGCCATTTGTCCATATATAAAGTGAAAGTACTTTAGAAATGCAATGATGAGTATAACATCGACACGGTGATGTAAGCTATTACCTTTCATCAGCCTTAAAACATTGATTCCGGGGTTCTCTCTGTGGTCTCCGTTCTCTTAAACCAGGGCTGCATTCCTTTGGTCCAGGATGACTGGGCAAAAATTCCTTATAATAGTAATCTTCCAAATCTAATAATTTTCCCTGACTGCAAACGAACACAGAAACACAGCATAGTGTCAAGCTAATTTTCTACTCATTTAAACTTACAAGATTACCTGTTTTCTTCGTTTGCAATAATTAAAGAGTAATACTTGCGTGTCAATAGAGATGAGAAAAGTCTTGAAATGTGCAAAAACAGAATATACCATAAATTAAAAAGAAAAACAGTGCCCTCACCGCTCACGTTTCAGAGAGCATCGGCTGCTTGGAGCAGTGCTTCCTAGGGCTACCACATTCAGCTTGGCACGAAACTAGTAGTTCCCAGATGGCCAGTCGTGACAATGCTCCAGTTCGGGCTGTCTACGTCAGGGGTCACAAGTGACCCTTGGGCCACTATGAAGAAAGCTGACCTGTATGTACTAACGCAAGTATTTCACAACTTAATCCATTCTCAGCCCACTGATGCGCACTGAGTGTCCTGACCACCCCTCACCGACTTCCTTCACAGGCGACCCCTGTCCTTTCCTACCAGCTGGTCTTCAGGGGATTCGCTTCTGTGCTAGATTTTAATTGCTGCACGTGACACACGCACAGGGGTGTGTCTGCAACCATGTGCATTCTCGGACCAACTCAGACTAGACTTCTGGTTCCCGTGGGGCTTGGTCTCTGCAGTCTGATGGGCGTCATCTCAGGGACACAGGTACAGGTCTGGAAAACTGTCGGATGTTACAGGGCTCCTGGGGAAACGTGCTTTTCAAGTTAACGGATACCAATTTGTAAATGAACTTTCAGAATGCCACCGATTCATAAATTGGGAACTCTGTGTCTGCTCACGCTGAATAGCAGAAACCTCTGTTGTTTTGGGCACTGTCTGGAAATTAGTTGATTGAAATGGTGGTGTAAGATTAACAGAGCCAAGCAGAGGTGGGCTGAAATATTACGGGAAAAGGGGAAGAGTGGAAATTTAAGTGTGCCACACCTGCAGGTAACATAAACCTTATCTTCCTAGCAAATCCATGAACACTAGAAAAAGTGAGATTTAGCTTGTGTTGAAGAACAAGAGAGTACAGAGGAGTTTGGGGAAAGAAAGGCCATGAACACGGGCATGTTCAGTTTGCCCAATCAAAACTGTACCAATGGGACAAGAAAAGAAAATTCTGTATTGGATGGTACAATTCATTCAAAACTGTTTGGGTTCTCAGTATACACCTTGGACTATGTTAGCTCAGTATACTTCCAATAGGCAAGATCTTATAAATTACATATAAACCATGTATTTATAATATCAATATATTGAGAGTACACTACTTTCCAAATCTAGCCATATAAAATAGGTGCTTCTTAGTCCTAATTTGAACACATGGATTTGCATTTTGGCTCGATAAGATGACATAATAAAATTTAGAAATAATAACTACCTGTCTTTCCTTGGTCTTCGTTTTTCTTCTTGGATTGACTTCTAAAGGGAATAGAATAATTTAAAAGAATCTATATAACATTATGATCTTAATATAACTGAGATATTACTATAGTATTAACATACAAATTTATTCCAATAAAGCTGATCTGGAAATAAGCAAGTAGACACAATCTGTTTACAATCTAAAGACAATTTTACTCAATTAAAAATTTTAATTTACTCAAGTTTTACTGATTATGAATTTGTGGTAGTGGTGACCAGTCTACACAAGATTACCTAAGGTTTATCTACCTACAAATGGGGACAAAATGTCAGACTTTCTGGACAGTCCATTTCTATCACAAATGTAGTTATATTTAAGTGGGTTAATCAGGCTGCTCTGATGTCTTGGTTATGTGCCTTCCTTGTCTGCAGGTAGAGCAGATGGGTGGAGCGTTGGGGCAGGTGCAACAGTGCACGAAAGAATGGAAACTGACTTCATTAACCCAGAAGAGTCCATTTATGGCATGAAAGTAGCAGCATGGATGACATGTTTCCACAGTTGAGAACTTTATGTATCAAGGCACAAGTTAGAATGCACAACTACAAGGCACAACTACAGAGATAATTAGCTATATTTTAATCAGTGGTTCAATGTAAACACTAACAAAAAGGTATTTCATTTGATCTTACACACAAAGCGGTGTTACCTTTTGTATTGTGACGCTGGTAATGTGTTTCACTGTGTGCTAGCCCAGTATATTTGAGCTCCTGTATCTACATGTTGAAAAGAGCATACAGGTCTTTTAGGCTGAGAAAACAAACGCCACACTCACCTTGAACAAGCTGAAGATGCTATAACTGTGGAACCCCAAAAGCAAATGTCAAGTTGGCTGGCACCGTAACGTGCAAGACGATAAAAATGGCAGTTAATAATATCAAGGGTTTTCCCAGGTTATCTTTAGACATAGCGAGCCATTTTTCTCATAAGTTATCACTTGTAATACCATGAAATGTTACATAAGTTCAATAGTTCACAGATTCTTTTATTCTGATTGCTTGCTGCTTTAGTGGGTGGATGAGGTAGAGGTGAATGCTTAAATGCATCAAGTCTGGGAGTGGACCATTCAGGACTTAACAATGTAAAGGACACCAATTACACTCCTGCCCTCCTTCCTGTTTCCTGTTACTTCACACTCTTGACCCAATGCCCGAGGCTTGGAGGTGCTTACAAATACTGACATTACCAGCAGAGGTACAGTGGCCCCTAGCAGTCCAGTTAATGATCCCTGGAACTGGGTGGATATTTGCTGTGGTGGTGGTTGTTTTAATATGAGAGGTCCTGCCTCCTTGATCTGTCATCTGAAAAAAGTGTCTCTCTTGTTCTGGATAACAATTTTCCATAATACAAAGTTATGCTGGAACAATGCTGAGTGACAGACCCCTTTTACACAACCAAGAATCAAATAATGCTCTGCCCTTGAATTCTCAAGCTAGTGAGGACCCCTTTTCATTCTGGGTCAGCATCTCCCTCTGGGAGGTGGTATGTGTAAGTTGGTTCGCAGTTACAGGAACTCCTAGAAGAGGAAATACTGTCCAGGCTTATTTCATTCTTGCCTCTGTTAGAATATTGTGATGAAATGCAACTCAGTGATATGTTTTTCCAAAAATTATTTAAGATGGTTTACAGTAAAAGCAATTACATAATTAAGGCAATAAAATAGGAGTTGTAAATAAGGACCAAAGAGGGAAAAGGAGATGTGCATTAAGGTGGAGTCTTACATTGAGCTGTTTCATAGTTTCCCAGGCTCTACAACTAACGGGCGTGGGTGAAACTGCATTCTTCATCGTGAACAAGGATACTGTGCTTCCTGGAGGAGGATTTAATATGAATTTCATCACATGGGGCTTTATATCAGGGGCGTTTACAGGCAGACCTCAGAAATATTGCAGGTTTGGTTCCAGGCCAATGCAATAAAGCGAGTCACACAAACGTTTGGAGTCCCAGTGCATGAAAAAGTTACGTTTACACTATACTATAGTCTATTAAGTGTGCAATAGCATTATGTCTGAAAAAAAATGCCTACTTCAGTTTAAAAATACTTCAATTGCTAAAAGCACCATAAAAATGCTCGTGGAGGATTTGAAATATTGCAAGAATTGCCAAAACGTAACACAGAGACAGGAAGCGAGCTAATGCCATTGGAAAAATGGCACCAATAGACTTGCTGGATGCAGAGTTGTGACAAACCTTCAATTTGTAAAAAAACAAAAACGAAAACAAAACAGTATCTCTGTTACGCACAAAACATGAAGTCTGTCTGAACCGCTAAGACCAACAATGTTTTCAATCAGAGTTTTGAGAGGACAGACTACACACCTGAAATTTGAAGTGCAAATAAAGTAGCAAATGTCCCATAGCAGTTTCTTGCACTTGAGTGAAGAGGAGAGAAAGACAAGGAAACAGAGGTGACTTAAGGAGGAGGTTTTTCCCCCAGTGTGGCTGTTTCTCGAGGAGGCCTTTGAAAGAACCAAGAACTTCTCTGAGGACAGAAGATCACCGTTCCTCAATCAGCTGCATCTCACTCCCCCTCCCTCCCACCTGACATAAAGAAATACATTTGATGGTAAAACTTTAAAATTCATCTCCAGTACATCATGGTGGACACAATCTTACTTCCCTTTTGGACATTCACTAATACATTATATACTCAGAGGTCTTCACAGGGATGAAGAGGGCTGCCAAAATATAGACCAAAAAAAAGGGGGGTGACCTTGGATTGGCCAAACCACCAACTGCCGTAGCTGAGAGAAGGGTCCGGAGGAGATAATAGGACCGGAAAGGTCCTGAGAAGTGGCGGTGCTCCTTACTCAGTTTTGGAGGAAGCTGCATCGGCCCTGAGTCATTTCTGCTGATGGCTGCACAGCTTCCGAGCATCAGAGCAGGCAGCACGCACCGTGACGGTGGGGCGAACGGGCCCTCCCCTACAGGCATGCTTCTCAGCCTCAGCTGACTCTCATTTTGCACACAGCAATGGCAGCATCTCCCAGATGGAAGGGAGTAAGAGCATCAAAGCAGGGAAGAGAGCTGGTCCTGCTGGCAAGGCAGTCAGAACGACCACAGGGCGTGGTGATGGCCAAGGAGAGACAAAAGCTGCAGAGACAGTCAGACAGCCATATGCACAGCTGCTCGTGTCGGGCAAGTGTGAGGGGTGTCACGGCCACAGCTTGGCAGCCCCCGAGGGCCTTGTCTAAAGTATGTCGTGCGTTGTTCAGCAAACAGCGTTCTCGTTACGAGCAACAGCGGGGCTGTAAGCGTGCGCAGAGCCCCTGCCTTCCTAGGGCTGATCGCCCACCAGGGAAAGCCAGGCGGGAGACGAGCAGATACACACTCACACGTGCTACTGAAAGAGCAGGAAGCTAACTCACAAAAGGGCTTCCCTGATGCTAAGCTGTTTGCTGATTCATCCTGACTTAAAATTCTCGCAACCTGCTCTTGTCTTTTCTCTGACAAACCCTCATCTCTGCTTCACTTGCTCAACTGCTTTTGTGCTAAACAGCCCCCAACCTTCCCACTACACTCTCCACTCCCTGTACATTCTTGACCCAGAATAACTTGTCCTTTAGCCCAGAAGATGTGTTCCAGGAAGGTGGTCATGGGCTGAGAGCCTCAGAAGAATGAACAGACCCTTGGGGGTTTTTCCGTGATGCCACGTAGATTCATCGCAGCACCCCGGAAAACAGCCTGACTGTTGTCACAATGTACACCCCTCACTCGAGGCCTGGAATTTAAAAGGTGCTCAATAAGTATCTCCTTCCCCTTCTTCCTTCTACTTTCACCATAACTGGGGCATTTCCACTCACATCCCTCTCTGGAGAGCTCCCGCTCTGATGCACTTCCCTTTCTGGGGTGATATTTGCACATCAGCTCAGATTGAAGGATGAACAGAGCAAACTTCTGGGAGGACAAGGGGGTTACAGGACTGTGGCAGAGGCTTGGATCCTGAGGAAGAGGGCCCTGAGCAGAGCCAGTGCCCAGACAGTCAGCCAAGGGAGGGACAGGGAACCAGAAACCGAGGGGGCGTCCCCTGCTACAGAGCCCTCCCTATGGACAGGACTGGTGCGGTCAGTTTCCACGCTGGCCGGCTGTGAGGGTGCCATGGCTTCCATCTGATAATAAGAGGGAGCCACTTACATGTAGCAGAGAATAGTACGTGGAGTCTTCAGGGTTATTCAACGTTTTGGGTTTTCGGGGCCGTCTTGGGGGTCTCAATATTTTTGTCTCTTCCCCCTTCGAGATACCTACAAGAGAGGTGATCATAAATAAAGATTCAGTTACAAAGGCTATTATCAAGCAGTGTTTTCTTTTTGGGTTAAATAACAAATTATATACACACACACACAACTGGGGCTAAAACTGGGATAAAGAGGAAATTCCTTTGTTCCTCTCGCCAACCCTTACCATACCCTCTTCACCACGTACTCCCTTCCAATTGTCTGAGGGTCTAGGATTTTGAGAAGTAAGGGAAGAGAAGACAGGACAAGACAAGAAAGGCGCAGGTTGGTGATGTGGAACAGGGCATAGCAGCTCGGAGGGTGGGCAGGGCGAGGTGTCAAAGCTGCCAGAAAATCTTTAAAAAAGGAGGATTATGCTCACAGAATCTCACTGTCTTCTTTCCTGCCCCTGCCATGGCCTTACACAGTGATCCATCCATCCATCCATCCACCATCCATCCAAGCACTGCATGTTTCTCAGTTAAAGTACCACCTCACGTTATGGCCCACATCAAGAGACTGCTTGTCTGCAGGCTGGACTCTGTTCTAAAAGCCTAATCTAGTCTTTCACCAAAATTTAGAATCTCAAATTATCAGAACATTCAGATCGAACTTCAAAAAAACCTTCGCCAAGAAATAATTAAGTTTGTCCTCTTTTTCCTGCTCTTTTTCCCTCTAGAGCCACGTTTTTCGTTTCCAAAGCCGTGGCGACATCATCAGAGCTTCCGATGACCTTCACGCTTGGTTGTCAGTGTTCGTTACAAGTGGCTTTATATTGACAGAATTAATGGGCCTCTTACAAAGAATTTGTCTCTTTTTCATGATTCTTGACCAACGCATCCCCTAAGTACATTTGTGCAGGACTGTCTGCAAGATAAAAACTTCAGGGTTGGGGTGGGAGTGGGGCATGGGGGCTTATTGGAGAACAGCCTGCATTCAACAGATAAATGAGCACAGATTTCTCAGCGGGGCTCTAAGGGCATTAATAGATCATTATTACATATAATAACAGGGCAGCAATGATTCTTACTCCTCAGAGGTAGAAATACACTGAGAAGCTGAATTGCCCCAAACCATTCTAATCAAATCAAGTTAAATCTAATCAAATCAGTGAATAGTTAATGCTTACTGACTGGCAGTGTAAAATGATTTCAGCCAGAATGGAGACTCATAGATGCTTGACTTTCTAATCCCAGGCCAGCCCCCTGAGTGAACAGGCTTATCGTAGCAGCCTTCATTTCCTAACGTCATCCAGCTCATTCATGTTAAGATTTATAGGAAATGGCTAGAAATGACCAAGACAGATCAGCTTGTGGTGAGTATGTCATAGGGGTGTAAGGCATGGAACCATGCGAACCAGAGAAAACCAGGACCATCATTCATTACTGTTCTTTCTGGAATAAAACGCAAGAAAATGGAATCTTTGTTAACGAGACCACGTTATACAGTGATTAGTCACAGACGAGAGGAGTGGAAGCACTTTTCCAACCAATCCCTGGAGGCTCATCTCCCAAATTCTCTCTCCCTTTTTCTCCAAAGGAGGAGACAGAGGGAACCCAGATATTGGAGCCCTATCTGAATCCTGTCTTATTAAAAAGACAGTCACAGGCACAAGAAAAGATGGCAAAACCTGATTCTTGCCGCCACCACCCACAGTGGTCTTTTATTATTTCCCTTCCCCTTACTGACCATCTCTCCCAGGGCCGATTATTAAACAGCTCCTATTGGCTCTTGCAGAGTTTCATCATTTTTAAACGCATTGGCTGTATCCACTTAGGTTACTTAATTGAGTCTGAATGGCAAAGAAACATTAAAATACAGTATCAAGTTATTGTTTTCAGAAACATGAAGGTGACCTGGGGCTAACTTTTAACTTGACATTAATATTTAAAGTCTGAATTAAAATGTCAGAACGTTACTACTGTAATAATAATTCATTAAATTTGAGGCGGCAAAGACCCTGAATAACTATTATGAGGGTGAAAAACAGATTCTGGGAATAAAGAATGTCTTGCTCTTGTGTCCACTTTCTCATCCAATGCTGCTGTTCGATGCGATTTCTACCTCGAAGACTCTACAGAAACGCCTTCTTGATGGTCCAGGGTGACAATTTCATTGACTAATCCAAGACCCTTGTTCTGTCCTCATTATCTTTGACTTCTTCATCGTTTAACTTTATCGACCGCCCCTTCCCTGCATGACTGAGGGTGAGGTTTCGGAGAGCAGACACTATCTTATATATCTTCGAATTCCTGGCTTTTAAGGAAATGCTTGACACGCGGGAAGTGCTTAATGCAAGTTCGCTGATGACTAAAGAATCCTTTGCCTCCCGGGTTGCACCCTCATGCTCCTAGCTCCTTGCACTTTGCACAATGAGTCCGCACAGATGACTTCCGAACACATACCTCCACTTTGAACCCACCAAAGCCCTGCCCTGATTTCTTACTCCTAATGAATACTTCCATTTAAAACTCTCAGATCAGATGAATCAGTGGCCAGCTTTCTCCTCCATGTAAGACTCAATACACCACAACCTCAGTGGTGATATTTCTGTCCTCCAGGTTTAAAATATTGATGTCACCTTTGCCTTAGTTCTCTTCTTCACCTCCTATAAGCAGGCAGTCAGCAACCTCTGTCAGTTTTTTGGATACATTCTTTGAAATATCTAACACTCGTCCCCCATTTCTTCCCGTTTGCCCTTGCTCCCACTCTGGGCTAAACTGTTCTGATAACTGGGGCAGAGTCTCCATGTGCCCTCCG